CAGCATGGTGCTGCCAAGCAGGGCTGGGGTGCCCTCGAGTGCATAGGGGGCGGTGCTGTGGGGCCCAGAGCGCAAAAATGCCTCAGGCCAGCTGGCATTTGTAGTAGGGCCTCAGCTGCTTGTGGAGCTGGGCCACACGGTTTGAAAGTCCCGGGCTGTGATGTCACGCCATGGCCAGGCGTCTCCCCTCTCACCTGTTGCGCGGCGTTTCAGCACGCCGCGTGTGTGCTCTCTCTGCCCCACAGTGCCCCGCCTCACCGGTTGCCACGCATGTACTCTCTCTGTCCCACCGTGCCCCGTAGATGGCCACAGGGAATTTAAAGTGAGGGGCTGCGGCGCCCCGTCACAAATCCCCCTCTTCCTCCAGCAGCTGCTAGCTGGCCCGAGACATTAGTGTGTGCCTGGGTATACCCTGTGTGCATGCCTATGCTGCTCTGGCAGGACTTTCAACTCTGCTGCATCTAGGTATGCCGGAGAAGCCCTGGCAAAATTTGAATTTCATTGTTTGTTTGGCCAGCGAGCAGACCTCAGGGCACACCTGACCACAAATGCTCAGGGTCACAAACGAGCTCTAGCATAGTGTGTGCAGGATCCTGGACCTCATTGCTATGTGGGGAGAGGAATCAGTTCAGGCAGCGCTACGAACCAGCAAAAGAAATGCTGATAGCTATGCCAAGGTCACACAGGGCATGGTGGAGAAAGGGTACATAGCAGTGCCTAGCAGTGCCGTATGAAAATAAAGGAGCTGAGACAGTCATGCCAGAAGACAAGGGATGCAAATGGACAGTCTGGATCAGTGCCACACATGTCGCTTCTGTAAGTAGCTGCATTGGATTCTAGCTGGGGATCTGACCTGTTTCCCAGCGCAGTTCAGATATTCCTCCCAAGACACTCCTCTGGCAACAGTGTGTAGGAGGAGGAGGAGAATGCTCAGCAAGCGAGTGGAGTATCCGATCTCACTGACATCCTGGACCTTTTTTAAACTTTGGAACCAATCTCCTCCTCCTGGCAAATAGGGAGAAGGGGGGAGGTGCTGAACACATGGTCACTGAGGCCCTGCCCTGCTGCCATGCCATTGCGGTCCCCCTTTGCCATTGCAGACGCCTAGCTGCAGGAGCTGCTATTTTTTGAAGTTGGAAAAATTTCTCTTGTGATCCACTGATGCCTGTAACACCATTGAGAAGTATCCCTTGTAGTTCATGTACTCTTTGGCAGGGTGGTCAGGTGCCAAAATGGGGTTGTGTTTCATCTATTGCCCCACCAGAGTTCAGGAACCCCACATAGCAAAGCCCTACACCAGTGGTCTCCAACCTTTTTACACCCAAGATCACTTTTTAAATCTCAGAACAGGCGAAGATCTACCGCCCCGCCCCTTGAAGCCCCGCCCTCTCTATTCTCCTCCTGTCCATCTCTTGCTATCCCCAGCCCTTACTTACACACTCTGATAAACAGTTTATTTTTAAATTATGCGATACATACAATTAAAATCACGTGTTTATAGTTATGAAATAAATGGTCTTTTTTATTCATGCTATTTAAATCTAAAATGAAGCATTTATAATTATACATTTTGTGGGGACAGAGTTCTGCGGCTGGGGGCAGGGGAGAGGGAACAGGGTGTTGGGAGGGCAGAGGACAGGATTCTGCAGCTGGGGACAGGGTGCCAGTGGGGAACAGAGTTCGGGGAGTAGGGACGGGAATAGAGACAGAGTTCTGTAGCTGGGGCCAGGAGAATGGGGACAGAGTTCGGGGAGTGGGGACAGGAATGGGGACTGAGTTCTGTAGCTGGGGCCAGGAGAGTGGGGACAGAGTTCTGTAGCAGGGGAGTGGGGACAGCATTCTGTAGCTGGGGACAGGGGAGCAGGGACAGCATTCTGTAGCTGGGGAGTGGGGGCTGGGGAGTGGGGTGCCAGTGGAGGCAGAGAGTCCCCCGCATCTCCCTCCTCCCAGGATTCTCCCCGCCCCCCAGGGAAACCAGTGCGTGCCTGCCCAGGGGGCCGACCCACCCACGCAGGGAAGCCCCACGCACACGCGCCTGCCCTGGGGCCAACTGCCCCCTCCCCCTGTGCAAGGAAGCCCCACGTGCGCGCGCCTGCCCCGGGGCCAACCCCCCTGCACGCACCGGGAAACCCCCTGAGCACCTCCCGCGGGGCTGACTCACCCCTCCTGTGTGGTGCAGGGAGCCGATGCTCCCTCCCGCAGTACACCCAGCAGAGCAGCTAGTGCACTTCTGGAATGGCCGGAAATGGCACTAAGATGCGGGACTTCTGAAGCCGACACTACCCCCGTTTTCTTTTGAGGTAAGTAGTGGGGCTTCTGGGAGATGGGAGGGAAATGGGGGCGGGGCGGACAGGACGCCTGGCGAGCGACTGGTCGAGGCCTTGCGATCGACCAGTAGCTCGCGATCGACCTGTTGGTGACGACGGCCCTACACTGTGTCCTGCATGTTTCCTGGAATCACTTCCTTTCATAGCCGATGGGAATTGATTGCTTTGGCTACTTGCACCACAGCGGATCCCACTGTAGATTTACCCACTCTGAGTTGATTCCCAACAGACCTGTAACTGCCTGATGTTACAAGCTACGCCAGGGCAATTGCCACTCATTTCTCAACTGTCAGAGCTGGTCTCATTCTGGTATTGCTGTGCTTAAGGGCGGGGGAAAGCAATTCACAAAGTTCCGTGAAGGTGGTCTTATGGATGCAAAAGTTTTACAGCCACTGGTCATCATCCCATAGCTGCATAAGTATGTAGTCCCACCAGTCTGTGCTTATCTCATGGCACCAGAACCAGAGTTTCACTATGTCAAGATGATTGAATGCTGTTGGTATCTGCCAATTGCTCAACTCAAGGGTTTCATACAAGTGTCTGTTCATGGCCTCCTCATATTCTTCCTCCTTCCGGCAGGCCCTGGGTAGGCTCTGGACATATTTCAGTAAAAGGCGTGATATGTTTGTTATAGAACTTTGCTGCTGAATGGTGTCCATCCCTATCCTGCTATGGCATCTAAATAGATAGATAACTAGGGAAAAAAGGATGTGAAAAGATTGTTTGCTGTTGCTTTCCAGCAGGGACAGAGAGAAGAGATGAGTGCATTATGGGAGACTGGCAACATGTACCCAGAACTTCCTGTTGCACAGTTTTGGTCCCATTGGACATTGGAAGACTAACACAAAATGCAAAAAAGCAGCAAGGGCTGTAGGACAGGTACCCTCAGTGCATCACTGTTAAAGTCAATGGTAGGCACCCTACAGGGGATGCACTATGCAGAACTCTCATGCACACTGGGGACATGCACTTTTGACTTTCCAAAAAACAGGTGCTAAAAATCAACCTTAATAAATTCAACCTTATCTCATAATGGGTACGTCTACACTTGCCGAAATTGCTAATGAAGCAGGGATTTAAATATCCTCTGCTTCATTAGCATGTTGCCAGCGTGTTACTCCGCTCAACAGCTGATTTGAACCAGGGAGTGTGCTCCTGGATATGTGTTAGTTTGAATCAAACCCCTTGGTTCGAACTAATCTGTCCAGGAGAGCACTTCCTGGTTTGAATCAGCTGTCGAGCAGAGTAATGTGCTGGCAAGCTCATGCTAATGAAGTGCAGGATATTTAAATCCCCGCTTCATTAGCAATTTCGGTCACCTACATTTGCATCCCTAGCTCGAACTAGGGAGTAAGTGTAGATGCACCCATAATGTAGAAATGGCCTAAGGGAGATTTTAGAAAGATTTCTCAGTGTCGCTAGTATTGATTCAGCACTGCCAGAATTAACAGTGATAGCATCCCTTCCTTGGGCCAGCTGATGATGCTGACAGTCTAATAATCCACTTCTCTGACAGAATACAGTTAGATGATATTGGAAAGTGTCAGAAATGGCAAATAGCCAATTAAAACTGATACTCAGTGTGTGTCTGAAACATTAAACTTTGTCTAATGTAGATAAGCCTTTTAGGTAAAACCAAGCAAATATACTACTATGGTGTTAAGGGACATGAAATGCTGAATTTCAGATGACACAAAACCAAGGCTGTGACCACCTGTTTAGCAGCACTTGCCATTATTTGCAAAAGTAAAGTCACTCTGTTGTCATGACTAAGTTGCAGTTTGAGTAGCCACTTTTTGTTCACCTAGTTCCCCTTACTTCAGCTGAGTCTAAATTCTTTACTTCCCCCTCTGAAAGCTTTGTGCAATTTTACTGTATGGTATTATGGATATTCTGTTCACAAAAAATGAAATGATAATGTATAAGTGATTTGTGTCTGTAGTTGTGTAAAGCACTTTAATGCATCTAAAAAGGGCTATAAAAACAATAATCCTGTCAAGTGCATAGAGCAAAGTTGAAATCCCATTGGTTTCCACAGCTTTCATCATAATACACATGTACTCTGGTTGTCAAAGTTGTAACCTGATGCTCATCTTACCCCAAAATAGTTCTATTTCTTTTCCCATCTAGAATTGGCAGCCCAAAATCCACAGCTAACTATAGAAACTGTTCAGATCTAATCTATTAGTGGCTATGTTGTGCCAATGGTAAATAATTACAGAACATTTAACAGCTGAAGAAGTTTTATTAGAATAAGGGAAACAATATTACCTAAAAAACCTCTGTTTTTCTCTCATTGATTCACAGTTGAGCTTCTGCCCAGAACCTCCAACTATTCCATTTTATCTTTGTTCTGAGACAAAGCCATATAAATGGCAGTATTTTTCTCTCAAAATCTCACTTCACCCAAATTTACAACTCTTGGGTCCACGTTATATACACCTACAATCAGTCCTTGTATTTCTACCCTGCCCACAAGTAATTACAGTATGTTACAAAACTCACAAAACTGCACACAAGTATATGAAAAACAGTTTTAAAATGTTGTCACTTATGAGGCATAAAAACTTATAAGTGGCAAGATATCATATGGGCCCAATATACTTATTTATTAAAGTAATGCAGTTTCTATGCAAATGAACACTATACCACATATTGTATTTTAGATAATTATTTAATTATATATATTAACCCATTTTTAAAGATATACACAGTGGGCCAAATCTGGGAGTTATTATGCAAGCAAAACTCATTCAGACTATATACAACTTCTAGGTCTTTGATTAATATTGTAAAAGTGTTTTAGGTTCACTTGGTTAACATTTGACATTATGGGTACGTCTAGACAGCATCCTGCTGTCAGAATAAGCTACACAATTTGTGCTATGAAAATTGCATAGTTTACTCCAAATCTAAATCGAAAGAGCTTATTTTGAAATTTTGCACTGTCTACACAGCGCCAAATTTCAAAATAAGGCACTATTCTGACAAATCCCTTAACTATTACAGGGACGCCAGAATAGTGCGCCCGCTTTTAAAGGTATTCCAAAAGAGCAACGCAGTTTAGACCTATCCTATGTTAAAACATACCTTTCTATTAGAGCTATGACAATTGTACCTATCTGTAAGAGACACTACAATAAAGATGTAATATATTAAACACCAGGTACCTGTTGCTAGGAGATTATTGCTTGAAAGTAAGCATGAACAGGTTACATTTTAAAACTACTAGTATTTGCATTTTCTGGGACAATCTGTTTATTCCCTGATTGTGTATCAGCCTTTAAAAGGCAATACTTCTGAACAGAGCTCAAGGAAAAACACTGCTAAAAGATGCGTGTGAAACTTTGTTTCCTTGAAATACTCGTCAGGCAAAGACTGTATATTTCTCTGGGACCATGTCTGCTGCACAGCAACACTAGTTTGTGAATCTCAATATCCTCCTGAAATTAAATTTGCCAATGGATCAGCTCTCACAGTGTAGGTAAAATACACGTTGATTGAGCTGATACAGAGATTCTAGCAGTTACAACACCCAGACTAATTCTCAAACATTCTTAGTGTCTAGATGGATATATCTAGACCTGTGGTTTTCAACCTGTGATCCACAGATTATGTCTAAGATTTTCAAAGAAGTCCATACTTCTGATTTGAAAATTTTTAGAGGTTTACAAATGAAAAGATTGAAAAACCACAGGTCTAGACATACAATGTTCCATCTTAAGTATCAGAATGTCTGCCTGCCTTGTCCTTTTATAGAGAGGTAGACTATCCAAAAAGTTTAACTATAGTAAGAAATTTCTGCTGTGTGAGATTTACAATTAGTTCTAGTTTAATTACTATAATAGAATGACTTTTAATCTAACGCTGCTTTTCTTCTCCCCTGACACTTTTATACAAAATATGTGATTAACTTTATTTTATGTAATAAGTGAAAGCATTCAGCTTGTACACATGACAATCTGCTATTATTGTTTTCCCTAAGTTAATAGCCATGTGGGTTCTAGATATTGCGAGTGCTTGGATTCACAACTAGATCAAATTCAGATCAGGTATTCATCATGTCAGTTAGAAGTAAACGTTCCTATAGTTAGGGCACAATATCTCCTCTTCAAATGATGCCTAAAATACTGAAAAATAAACCAGCATGTAAACAGAAACAGGTAGAACTAATCAAAACAATGGCATATTAACTATACACAATTACAACCGATAAATTATATATTCAAGTTTGACTAGAATTTTGTACAGAAAATTAATCTTATTGCAGAATACATGTTGTAGGCTCCGGTCATGTCTTCAGAAGTTCATATAAACCACTTGTGCACAAGTGAAGAAGAGATGGCAAAGGTACTTAAAATACTGAATAGCAGCAAAAGGCCAGGGCTGGATTGTTTCGCAGCAGAGTTCTACAAAGAATAGAAAGGCATGTTATCCTTTTTCAGAAACAGTCAGGCATTGAGGAATTTAATAAATGTGAAAGAACAATTTTATTCACTGTGATTTTCAAAGCATGGTAAATTCCAGAGAACTGCACAACTTGTCTGTTCTCATTAATAAATGTTGACCATGTGGTTTGAGTACTGACTAACCACATAACATACATAAAGGTATTACATAAAGGTATTTATGTAGTGAGATAAAACAAAATGTACTGTATGGGAAGAGTATGTGTGACAGCTTTTTGAACTTTTCTGCAGAACTCAGAATCTGTGCACTAAATTGAGACTTAGTTTAAGGAGGTGAGTTTCAGTGGGAAGCAGTGTT